ATGGAGTAAAGTCAGTCTGCAGCTGTAAATAAACACAGTAAATACCCTTATTCCCTGAGGAGGATGTGCTAATGAAGTACTGGGGAAATGCTGATGTTCCAAGAGTTAATGTACTAACTAGAACTTCATCCAGAACCCTTGAGCACTTGGCAATTTGATTCTTAAGCTAATTTTGGAAAGGAATGAGAGGGGCAGAACTCTTTTCCTAGTCTTTAATCCTGATTTTTTTTTTCACTTTTTTCTTTTCTGCTTCAACCTGCCTTGACTAGCAGATATGCAATTAGCAAATTCTTCTCATTCCAAGGTAGAAAAACAAGACTGAAACAAATTTGAACTTGCAAAGTTTCCTGACTAGAAGAACTTAAGATCACACCTGGCTGCTAATAGGAAAAACATGTACAGACATCTGGATGTCTATAGATTTCAGCTCTACTGACTATTCAGACCTTTACCAATTAATGTGGCATAACAGCTTTTTGCAAAATATGGGAATAAATGTAAATGACTAAAGCTAAATGTTGTCTGCTTAGAGATTAGGTAATTTGTTTCTACTTTATGAAGTTTAACAAAAATTCCTTGTTAAAACTGATCAGAAAAAAACCCAACCCAGACACTTACGGAGGATTTATCTACATGGTCTAAATTCTGGAACGTGATTTTACACTGTGGAGTATGAAATCTGGAGCTTTCCAAATTGGAAGAAGAGTCTTTTCAGTCTTTTCATTCTTTCCATTTTAATAGCTTAGAAAGAATTTTCCCTGTACTATAACTCAGGTTCATATATTGTGGTCACCAGAGACTAATTTGAAAAGAAGAACTTTCTTGATGGTCCATTTCAGTTCACAGCACCTACAGTGCCAAGTGTATTGGGAAAGATAGCTTGGTACTATCTCAAGTAATTTTTGTGTTTGAAAACATTTAAGACTCTGCTATGCAAAATCTTGTTGTCTTGAGCTTGTTAGTAGGCTAAATACATTACACCTGAGAGGAGGATTTGTGAAGATTAATTTCCCCTTCCTCTGAGTTTTCAAATAAAAATTACACAACTGATTTAAAATCAAGCAACACCTTACGAACTATTGCACCTCTGGTGTTGGTAGCACCACAGATTATTAAAATGAAAAGAATGTTCAAAGAACTTCTACCATTTATCCTGGGCTTTTGTTTGTGAGTCCCTATGGTTTTGTTGTGCTTAGAGCACTGAAATAGAATAAATTAAGTGCTCTATTCATCAGCTTCCCTTTTGGGGTCTCCTTTGTTCTCTCATTCTGGAAAGCTTGAGAAGATACTAGGATGGTTTGCAGTGTGATCTAGTTGCACTCAATGACCTCCAGAGGTCCCTTCCAAGCTAAAATTTGATGTTTGACCTGATGTAAAGCTGACTTTTCTGAAGCAGGAAGAAAAGGAATGAAGTGCAGACAATAAAATCCATGTTTTATCCCATATTCTTTTATAGGACTTCTTATATAACTGTGTGGAGAGAGTTGACTGGCACTTTTGATCTCATTAACTGCAATGCTAAGTAAAGGCTTCCTGTGTTCCTGAATGCCAATTTATTGTTGCAGTTATTAACTCATAATGGTGATGTTTGCTGCCAAGTTGTAGTCTGGGCATGTCTAGTTTCATTTCAAGCCTGACATAAATCCTTACTTTGAGCTTCTTTAACTTGCTTCATTTTTCTGCTGGTTTAGGTTAAAAAACAAATACTGGATGAGGAAATCTATTGCTCACCAGAAGCAACAGTTTTACTGGCTTCATATGCTGTTCAGGCCAAGGTTTGTGCTGTTTGTGCAAGGTTTGTTCTTCTTTTATTGACTTTTATCTTCTTTCACCAACACACATACATGGTGGTATGTAAAACACAGCAGTGTTACAATTTGCTGTCAAAGTAATAGGTCATCCTGGGAGGTATAGGCACAGCTAGAAAAATAAACATTAGATGTCACTAGAAGGACATTTTTTTCTACACTATGCTTTCACAATTTAGGGGATTTTTTTGGAACTAACATTTTGATGTGAGCTTTCTCCCAGTTAGAATTACTTCCCGTTGTTTTAGAAAATAGCCAAAGGCTGGAAGTAGCTTCCATGGGCAGTTCAGATGAAGGGAGTCTGTTTATTGGGTTACTCTGTATACAGGAGAACCAAACTAAAATCTCAAGTGATTGCATCAGACTGTGCAAGCAACAAGTTCTTCAGCATTCTGCATCTAACAAACTGAAGTATCTTTCTTTTCTTGGACAGTATGGTGACTATGACCCAAATTTTCATGAGCCAGGCTTTCTAGCCCATGATGAGCTTTTACCCAAAAGGGTAAGTCTTTATTCTATATAAAACCAAACCTTTGATTATACTCTTTGCTGTGGATTAGCCAGAGCATTAGAAACTGCAAAATGACTGAGCTGTGAACTGCACTGCTGCACTCACGTTGCTTGGGAGAGGCAGCACATGGATCTTCAAAGAAAACCAGTCTCCTTCCTTTCTCTGTAGGTCCTCAGGCAGTATCAGCTGACAGCAGGGATGTGGGAGGAAAAGATCACTGCTTGGTATGCTGAGCACAGGGGGATTGCCAGGTACTGCAAGCATTTCATTCTTTGGAAATCCCATGCATTTCAGTAACTGGTTATTTGCTGTCTTCAGTCAAATGGTTCTTGTAGGTTGAGGAAAGAAATACCAGTATTTCTCAGCTGTGATGTCAATTGGTTGATTTATCACTAAGGATGAAAACAACTTCTCATCTGAGGTAAAAAGTGTCTTTGTAGGGCTCCAAGTGCTTGTGAACAGAGAAGCTGAGGGCTCCTGTAGAGCTTCATGACCTAACATACCTGAAACAGGAGTCCTGCCTCATCAGAGTCCATGCATGCCAGAGGAGAAAAATTCCTGCAGAAAGTTTGAGTTGTGTTGAGTTTGCAGTTAGCCATGAGAGTTCTGCCTTTTCCTTTAAGGCCATTAGTTACTTGGCATTGCTGGTGTCTGCCCTGTGCAGGAGCTGCTTTGCTAGAGCTGGATCACACCAGTTTCCCCATGGAATAAAAAGAATGTATGTGATATATTTTATACTTTGTGAGAACCATGGCTCAAAAGGGTGTCAGTGTGCTAAGCAAGGAACTAAAACATTCTGACATGGGATCATAGTTCCAGGACTGAGTTTTGGTGCTTGTCCATGTGGACATTCATCTACTTCAAGGCATTCAGCGTGTCTGGAAATGCAATTAAACAAGAAATAGGAGCTGTTGGCATCCATTAGCCTTTCCTAATATTTTGGTTCAATTTCTCTTTGGATGCTTCTTAGCACTATTTTTATTGAATATATTCCTCAAGAGTTATTGATGCCTCACCTTGAAGGGAAAGAAAAGTGGATGGAGAGATTCTCACCCTTCTTTGGCCTTGGCCGTAGGCTCTATTTAGAGTTTGTTCAGGACTCATTTCTCAACAAACTCTATTTCCTGAAGGAAATATAT